AACTCTAATGAACAAGAATTGAAGCTAGACTTATGGATCTAGTCTTCTCCAACACTTCCTTGCTCCTTAAAGTTTCTTCTTCTTCAAAACCACAAGAATGAACCAAAAATGGCTCAAAGCTCTTAAAAATGTGTTAGGGTTTCATGGCTAGGGTTTGGAATGATGGAAGCTGTAAATGAGGCCAGCCTTTGGGGTTAAGGTGTTTAAATAGGGTGCTAAACCCTGGAAATTAGGGTTTCATTCTTGCAGCCCTACTCGTCGATTTGAGTCCCTTAACTCGTCGAGTAGACTTTAAGTTCTACGTGCAAATTCCATTCCTACTCGACGAGTTTGGGGCCTCCAACTTGTCGAGTTCCTGTACAAAAATGAATAAATTGATTTAAAATACATACGAGGAACTGAACATTACAATTATGGTGTAATTATTGGCGTGATGTTGTAGGAGCGATTCTAGGCTAGAAAATCAAGGAAAACCCCCACCACCACCACCACCATGGGTGGTGGCTGCCACCTCATGCCGCCGATTGCCGCCACTAGCCGCCACTTTGGGGTGACGGTGTGCTTGTGTGTGTGATTGGACCTAAAACCTATAACTCTCGCCATTAGAATGGTGGTTGCCACCTTCGACCGCCGCCGACCATCACTGCCCGAGGTGGCAGTAGGTGGTGCTCGATTTATAAACACACACACACAGACACACACACACACACACACATATATATATATATATAACTAAATTATGAGTTGTAAACCCTAATTAGGGTTTAGAAAACCCTAATTTCATGAAATCATAATTTTGGAATTGATCGGGATCCGCATTCAAACTATTTATTGGGCTTAAAATATTAATTAATAATCCTTGGCAATTAACTTAATGCAATATTGGAATTAATAGATTAAGTCCTTAATGGGTTAAGTGTTCTTACTTAACCCTAATTGTCATTTTATGTGAAAACCCTAGTTTTGTTTGGGCTTGAGTTGGGCCTTCCTTTTGGGCTTAGGTGTTTGGGTTCTTGTTGGGCCATCTGAGAACAAGCGTGTGGACTAGGAGACGTGGATGGGCTTTTGGGTAAGGTCCATGTAATGGTTGGGCCCAATTTGGAAAATTGGGCCATATATTGGGCCTTGATTGATTATTTGGCTTTTGGGCCTTCGAAGTTTAAGTTTGAGCCTTGGTTTTGGGCCAGGTTAGGTTAGGGGTAAAATAGTCTCTTTACCCCAAGTATGGAGTTATGATGATGTATTGGAACCCAATTATTAATTCGGTGGTGTTTTGATGATTGACAGTTTGGGGATCTGTCAGCCAGCAGCCACAACTTTATTCGTGGGACTTCAGTAGCGTGACGTGAGTCTCCTTACTATTTGTATGGGTCGAAGGCACCAATGCCATCCCATTTGATTTATGCATTATAGGAAGACCCGGGGGTTAGCCCTAGGTATTATGTATGAAAGACTAGGAGGCGACTCCTAGCACACTGTATGTTATTATGTATGGTAGGAAGACCTGGAGGGTTAGCCCTAAGCACTATGTATGAAAGACCAGGAGGGGGCTCCTGGAACACTGTATGCTAATTGGCTAAGTATAGTAGTATGTATGCTAGTTGTCTTTGTGATGCTTGCATGGAAGACCAGGAGGTGGCTCTTGGCACATGTCTGTAAGACCGAGGGAGTGGCCCCTGGCTTGGTTATGTATGGTAGTATCCGGTTGAAAGAGACCGCAGGGGTAGGCCAACACCCTGATATGCTAGGCAATATGTTTATTGTATGATGTGTGGTATTTGGGGAACCCACTAAGCTTCCTGCGTACAGTTTTTATTTTTGGTTTCAGGTACCTCCAATTTTCAAGTAAAGGAGCTCGGGACGATAACAATGCATATACCCGTGTTTTCCGCAATATGTGATTTCTGGGAATGAACTCTGGTAGTTGTTTTATTTGAAAAGCTTTTCAATGTGTGAACAAAGTTATAATAATGTTTTTAGTTATATTAAAAATGAAATTTTTGGTTTTGAATTTTGGGATGTTACAGAATTCCTTAAACCATGGCTCTGATACAAACTTGAAACGTCCTAAAAATTATAAGGTAAAAATTTCATTTTTAGTTCAACCAAAAACACCAATTGTATTTTTCCAACATTCAAAAGTATATCATAATAAAAAAATTATCATAGTACAATCCCAAAATCATCAAGTTGCGGAAACATGGGTGGATGCGTTGCGATCAAGTCGGGCCCTTCTCTTTCATCCCGGAAGTACGTGAGACCATAAACATAGAAACTATAAGCACAAAGCTAAGCGAGTTCCCCAAAATACCATCTACCATATATCAACATATAATGGGCCCCACCCCGTCCTTGGGCCCCTCCCGACATCGAGCCCCGCTCGGAACAGATCTATCAGTCACCAGGCCCCACATAGCATTGGCCCCCGCTCGGTATACATACAAACACATAAACACATGCAAGAATCACAAAGATAAATAGCATACGATAATCATCAGACCATGCCTGGCATTGGGCCCCACCCAATATACATATGAGATATCATACATGGAAGAGTCTCACAGACAACTAACATCCTAATCATAATAAACTATAGGACAACATTAGTGCCTTCAACTCGCCAATACAGTGAGGAAACTCACCTCAATCGAAGATCATTGAACAAGTGAGCTGGTGCTACCGGAATCCTCACATTGAAAATAATCAAATTATCCCTAATCAATAATTAAGATACATTCCCAAAATCCAAGGCCCCAAAAATATTCTGACTTCCTAAAGGGTAAAAGACCATTTTACCCTTCCCATAACCGGTCTAAAAACTCATGGTCCAACTCCTGAAAGGCTCAAAATGAGCTTCTCGGAAGTATGCT